TGCCACTCCGCCTGGCGCAACAGAGCGAGACTCCATCTCAAAAAAAAAAAAAAAATCTGTATCATGTGCACGATCTGTATGCCTGCTACTTCTGATAACTAAATGGCTGCCTAACATTAGTTCCTGGGATAGTTTGCCTAATTATTCTTATGCCTATGGGGTATGTGGACTTTTCTAACTTATTTATTTGTTTTTAGAGCAGGGGTAATCATGTTTCAACAATTCTTCCTGTTTTTTGGTTATTTTGAGTAGATCCCCAGAGGCGATTACTACAGGGTGAAGAGTGAGAATGGTTAATGGTATTATAACAGGTAATTTGATTGCTCTCGCACGAGAGAGTGACTTAATTATGGTGCCACCAGCAAGGGACACGGAACTTTCTGCACTCCTTTAGACACTTAGGGGATTACAATTTCATCTTTTTTTTTTTTAATAAGAATACCTTCAAATTTTCTGGCTGGGTGTGGTGGTTCATGCCTGTAATTCCAGTTCTTGGGAGGCCAAGGCAGGCAGATCACTTGAGGTTTTGCAGTGGCACGATCTTGGCTCACTGCAGCCTCCACCTCCCGGGTTCAAGCAATTCTTCTGCCTCAGCCTCCTGAGTAGCTGGGACTACAGGCAAGCACCACCACGCCCAGCAAATTTTTGTATTTTTTTGTAGAGACGAGGTTTCACCATGTTAGCCAGGATGGTCTCTATTTCCTAACCTCATGATCTGCCTGCCTCCCAAAGTTCAGTTCTGGGATTACAGGCATGAGCCACCACACCTGGCCCATATACAAATTTTTAAGTAAAATGTTAGACCAGGTGTGGTGGCTCACACCTGTAATCTCAGCACTTCGAGAGGAGGAGACAGGTAGATAATTTGAGGCCTGGAGTTCGAGACCAGCCTGGCCATTGTGGCAAAACCTCATCTCTACTTAAAATACAAAAATTAGCCAGGTGTGGTGGTGTATGCCTGTAGTCCCAGCTACTCAGTAGGCTGGGCCACAAGAATTGCTTCAACCCATGAAGCGGAGGTTGCAGTGAGCTGAGACTGCACCACTGCGCTCCAGCCTGGGCAAAGGAGTGAGAATCTGTCTCAAAAAAAAACAAAAAAAAAAGTAAAATGTTAAAGAGAAAAAACTGTAGATTCTAACACTATACATGCACACCAATCTCATCTGAAGAAGTAGGCATGAAAAAAAACTAAAGAGAATTTGAAATGACACCATTCAGAAGAACCTATAATTTGCTTATTAACTATTCAGTGAGCACCTACTATGCTCAGGGACTGTCCTAGATGATGTGCAAACACCTGTAACATCAGTGAACAAGAAGAGACAAAAACACACGCCCTCACGACGTTGACATCTTATGAGGGAAAGCAAACA